AGATTTCATGATCAATTATGTTGATTGCCACAGATTAATCTAGGGGAACAAGCAAAGCTGAGTCACCATGGTCGACTGCAAATCCGACAGAGTTCAAGACATACTTCTGAGAAGTTTCTGTGCTGTGAGCCTACCTGTTGTCAGACTGGTAGCAGTCAATCAAGTTATGCTGAGAAAGATGATCCGAGAGTTGTTGTTTGACTACTTTTTCCAGAACTGTAGACAGGAACATCAAATTTGAGACAGGGCGACAGTTTTTTCGTCATTGAGAGTCAAGCGTGGGTTTCTTGATAAGTGTTAAGACTACAGCCCGCTTAAAACATGATGGTACACAACCTGATGATAAACTTAGGTTGAAGATCTTGCTAATGATTGGCAGAATAATACCCAGTTTTTTCAAAAGGAATTTTGTCGGGATAGGATCAAGCTCACACGGTTTGGGGGAAAGCATTATTTTCTTGACCTCAGATTCTGTTACTGGATGGAATGAACTGAGATGAGTACCAATGGACTCCTCGAATACAACGTCATCAGAAGCATAACCAATATATATATCACCCCTCGTAGTTTGGTGATCTTCTCATTGAAGAAGGTGTTGTGAAGGTGACTTCTTTAGATTTTCCAAGGAGCTTGTGGAGATAACTGTGTAAGCGTTTTGCATTGTCTGCTTTCCTAGAAATTTCCTCATTGATGTAATGAGTACGAGCATTCCTGATTTCTGTGGCAACGTTGTACAATTTCTATGGATCCCCAAGCCAGCAACATGTCTCTTCCTCTTTGCCTCACTGACTTGATCGTTGTACCACGGTGATGCTTCATGATTACGAACGTGCTTTAATTTAACGGGAGCGTGTTTATCTAAGACGGCCGTCAAAGTAGAGTTAAAGAGATCAGATAACTCGTTAACGTCATCAGATGTGCTAGAAAACAGACCAGAATTGTTCAGATCATGACGCAATATGTCAGTGTCAATCTTCTTTAGGTTACTCTGTATTTGGCGTGGGTCTTTGGAAATCCAGAAGGAAGGTCATCATTGAACGATAGGATATCTGCAAATCACTGACTTCAAGGTCTGTTACCAAATCATCAGATCCTGAGAGAACCCAATCAAGCACATGGCCTAAGCAATGTATGGGGCAGCTGACATGTTTGAGGCTATGGGATTCCGGTACGTTAAGCACTTGCTTAGTTAAAGAATTATGTTTGACATCATAATGGACATTAGCGCACCCATGATTACACAGAATCCAAGTTTGGGACTTAGTGAGTCGCAGAGTGAAGAAAAGTCATAAATGAAGTTTGAGTTTGTGATGTTATTCACTTTTGATGGTGGGGACCTATAGAGACACACAATTTAAAAACCTTTTTTATCACAAGTGACAATGCCAAGGAAATATTAAAATGAAACAAACTTATAAGACTACCTCATTCTATATAAAACAATGTTAATAATAAGGTTTGTTGGTTCAGCATTATAAACTGATTTCTGTAATGGATAACCCTTGCAATTGGAGATATCAACTGATATCAATAACATCTCAGGTCAATGTCCGAGAAATCACTTGTTGAGTCCAAATTGAATCTTGTATCTTTGGACTCAGTTTGGGTGCTAAAACGTTTGGACAGACAGACAGACATATTTATTCAGTAATGTGGGCCTGACGGCCTATAATACAATTGAAAGATACAATATTTTATTTTACAATGGCATGTGATATTTTCATGTATAATGTTTAAACAGATGTTTCAAAAACAGAGCAACTGATTTAACAATATAAGAATCTTTAGAGTGTAATACATTTATCATGCTTTGTTCACATTACGCATGGCATTCAGCTGTGGCAAGTACTTTTGCCGAATTTCATTATATTTTGTACATTGCATATAAAACATGGTATTCCTCTTCAATCGCTCCAAGATTACAATTTATACAGATACAACTAGTAATACCACTGTCTTTATTTCTCCTGTAAGTAACAATTCTAAAATTATGTAGGGATATTCTAAATTTACAAACTACTCTTAGAAGAGACTTATCATTCAGTTGTAAAATATAACATTCAGGCTCCAAAATTGCTTTCAGCTTACGGTAGTGCGTTAAATAATGCGAGTTTCAAACAGAATCATGCCAAGTTTGTTTGTACATGTCAATTAATCTTTCTCTAAACTTCAGTATAAACACATTTGTATCACCGACATTGTGTAATATCCACACAAATGAGAAACCTGTTCTAAACAAGATAGTTCTAATGTTGGACACCCAATTACATTTTCCTTTTTCATCTAAATTTTTAAGTAATACATAACATTGATATGGGTAACGATTTACATTCATTTGCAACAACTTAATCCAATACTTAATACATCGTATTTGAGTTAATATAAATATATCATACCTACCAGTCTCACCAAGTATAGCCTTGTTGGATGCAAACTTTCCCATCCTTAAATATCGTTTAAAATATGTAGTTTGCACTTGCTCTATTTCATGATGATAATGATTGCCCCCAATTTCACTTGCGTATAATAAAACAGCAGCAATTTTCTTATCAAATATTTCGCAGGCTGTAGTAAATGAGATAAATCTATTCTTACTAAATAAATGAAATACAGAAAACATTGCATTAGATGCCTGTGCAGCAAGAGTCTTACAAGCGTTTGACCATGAGAGCCTTGAGGAGAATATTAACCCTAAGTACTTATAGTAAGTAACACTTTTTAGCTGTTTATCACCAAAGTACCATTTCTCATTTCACCGTTTCTAAATACTATTATATTTGTTTTTTCTGTATTCACCTCAAGACTCCATTTTCTACAAAAAAACATCTAATACATTCAGTTGTCTTTGTAAACCTGCTACTGTAAATGAAAACATTGTAACATTATCTGCAAACAATAGCATCATTATATCTTCAAAAGTTTGGCTTATAAATATTCCATGATCACATATTATACATATCAATTACACGTTCATTTATAAAAAAATACGAATAGAACAGGGCTTAAGACACAACCTTGGCGAACACCACAGTTTCAAACTGATGCCCTCTTCATATTTTATACAAGCTTTAACTGATGAATACATACTCTTCAATATTGTACACATTTTGCAATCACAACCTTTTGTAACTTAACATATATAGCATTTTTTCCTATAGATGTAATCAAATAAAGTCGACGAATGCCACGTAAAGTCTACCCCCTTTTATACCAAGATATTTGCTGCACAACGACTGAAGGATAAACATATTGTGTACCGTAGAATAATCCGGACGAAAACCTGCTTCAGTCTCTGAAACCAGATTATTAACATCCAACCAAATTCTTATTCGTTTTTCTAAAACAGACGTAAACACTTTACCAATAACATTTAACAGCGATATTCCTCTATAATTATTCGGATTTGATCTGCTTCCAGACTTAGACAAAGGGACAATCAATCCAATATTCCACACTTCGGGAAAGTGACCTGTATCTAATATCTTATTAAACAATACTTGTAAGTAGTTAACAATAGTTGTAGTGTCAGCTAACTTAAATATGACAACCAGATATCTGGAGAAATACCACTTTGTACTTTCTAACCACATATCAGGGATTTCGCACGCACGCAAGCACACGGATATCAATGCAGCAATCGAGGCTTCTAAAGTCCCGGTACCAATACTAATATATCTGATTTCCTTACCTCGAAAGCATAAACAGCCTTTCATGAATCAGAACAATCTGATCTAACTAATCCGGGCGCATGCATTTTCTCGAATATTGTCCAGATAAACGAAGTTCCTGATAATTAAATCTCTTGTTATCCGTTACCATTCCTATCCAAATCATACGGAGGCAAAATGCTTTACATAATACACATTCAATAACGAATGCTCAACCAGACAAAGACCCACTAACCCAGACAGACATGTCCTTATTCCTCCCAGACAGAGTGAGTGAGTGAGCTTAGTTTTACGCCGCATTTAGCAATATTCCAGGAATATCACGGCGGGGGACACCAGAAATGGGCTTCACATACTGTACCCATGTGGGGAATCGAACCCGGGTCTTCGACGTGACGAGCCTCCCAGACGGACAAACAAACCTACAGACACGCATACATGAACGCAATGATGCCAAACACATTTTACGAAAACATAATCACACACGCACGCACGCACGCACTCACGCACACACTCACGCACGCACACAATATTCTCCAACACCTGAAGAGATGGTGTAAATCCAGCCGGGGTCCATGCAGGTAGCCAAAGTATTGTAAGTCCCCATGGGCTCTAGTATGGTGATCTACCTTCAGTTGCTGGCGATCAATAGCCTGTTTGTATTTTGTGTTTTTTTTCTGTAGTAATAGATTTAATTACAACATATTAGTTTTAAACCAAATCTGTGATATTATTGTATTTTTACTGTCCTGACGACAGGTTTTTATGGTATAGATGTATTTTGGTTTAGATTGTTCTCGTCGTGATATGGCTGAAATACTGTTGAAATGACGTTAAATATCACTCACTCACTCACTCACTCACTCACTCACTCACTCACTCACTCACTCACTCACTCACTCACTCACTCACTCACTCACTCACTCAAAAGATGGCCTGTCAGACCGTTAGGCAGGGAATACTGCTTTGTTGTAGTATCACATTCCATTGCATATTTACATCAACATTATATATACTTATACATTACATAATACCTCAACATTTCTACCATACATTACCCAAATATTGTTATATCGTTACATATGTAGACCAAGCAAAATGAATATCAACAATTTACGTTTTTTGGCCATTACTTGAAATTGTGGATACGCTCAGGTGGAAACATATAATACTATCATTAATTATTAGTTGCATTCATTATATATTCATCTCTCTGTTATTCATTTGCATATCTATTTTCAGATTACACACAGACATGCATCACGTGGGCAAGCACTCATTGTCCACATGGTAATGAAACATATATAAGTGGTTCCGAAATACATGTACACATTTGACGGTGTTTTCCTGATTGCGTGCAGTTTGTCTCTGGTGAAGGCGGGAATGGAAAGGTATAGTTCTTTTATTCAACACTGACAATACTCAAGTAATTGTTTCGATTTGCTAGTTAACCTGTTACATGCTTAATACAGAATACATACTGTAGTTTATGTTATGTTGAAGTTCATGTTCACGTTGCAGAGGGGCGGTGGGGTAGCCTAGTGGGTAAAGCGTTCGCTCGTCACGCCGAAGACCCGGTTCGATTCCCTACATGGATACATTTCTGGTGTCCGCGGCCGCCATATAGCTGGAATATTGCTAAAAGCGGCGTAAAACCCAACTCACTCACTCACGTTGCAGAGGTGTGCGTGTGCGTGTGCGTGTGCGTGTGCGTGTGCGTGTGCATATTCTTGTATTATTGACGAATGGAAGGCAACCTATCCACTGATTATTCCTTAACTAGCATTAGCAGATGGTAGCAGACTGAATACCACGGTTGTCCTTTGTTTAGATTGATGTTAAACTTTAATTTAACACACCCACTATGTCCCACACTCTGTCCTCACCATTATGAAGTACGAACGGTATGTTATAAGCTTTCAATTTATCACATGTCTTTACATGTGGACCCGTGAAGATCCGGGTTAGAATTGGTCTTCAGTAACCCATGCTTGTTGTAAGAGGCGACTAACGGGATCGGGTGGTCAGGCTTGCTGACTTGGTTGACACATGTCATCGTATCCCAGTTGAGTAGATCGATGGTGTTGATCACTGGATTGTCTGATCCAGACTCGATTATTTACAGATAGCCTCCATATAGCTGGACTATGGCAGGGTGTGTCGTTAAACAACTACCAAACCAAACCAAACTATACAAGCGCGTTTCCGAACCTGTACAATGCTATTATCGTGTTTTCTTTGGCGATGTGTATACTGGGAGGAGGGAGAGTGTCTGGGTTTTGTTACAATACCATATGTAAGCGGTCACTTCTTCATGATTTCATCTACAACAAAACCCGTACGAATATAATTAAGTTTTACCAAAACCTTGGTTGTTGGTTGGCTTCACCTGTTAGATATAGTTTGCTTGTCCTGTTAAAGTGAAAGCTAATGTTCGCGATTTGCTATCTTAAATAATGTCAGACACCGAAGAACTTTTTTTGAGTGACCCGCTTTGTCGATAACAAAAATATTCAGAAATATTTATATATGTGTTCGTCTAAGACATAATGTGAAAGAACAAAGGTATCAGAGTGTTGTGCAGACCAATGCTTAGTCTCTGAAACTATATGATTTGATACTACCAAATAACTACATATTGAAAAGGAGCTGCAGTGGGCTGTGAGATTCAAAGGAAAATCTAGACTTGCTTGGTTTAGGGCATTTGAAATACAGAAAGGGATGTACGACAAGGTAGTTACTTTGGTGCAGAGACAATAAACAGAGAAAGTGTTATGATGCATTTCATCAAATTTATAAAATGTACTTTTCTGTCTAATGAATTAAATTCGTCGGGGTAATATATCTTATCTTAACCTCACACATAAATGTCGCTTTCTGATTGGCTGAACGCTCTTCTATTATTTTCAATGTACCCCGCTTACAAGCGAGTAACATTTCAATGTACCCCGCTGTCAATGGCAACTCATTTGGTACTTCGTGGTAGTAATTCTTTATATCGAATTACATTGAATCACGTATGAATCACGTACGGAAATTACCGATGTTTTGCGAATGCAATTCGATGGAAGGGAGATAACTCTAAATATGTTTTTCTTGTCAGCAAAATCTAGCGATGGCTACAAAAATATTTGTACCCGTGCTTCAAACAATTCAAAATTAACATTAATGCGTTTGGTAAGATAGATACGTTGTTCACTGGTCCCTTGGGGCCCATGGGTTGATGTACCCTCGATGTTTGTTTATGTTCCCCTCTCCCTTCGGGCTCAGGGAACATAAACAAATATCGAGGGTACATCAACCCATGTCCCCCTCGTGACCAGTGAACAACTTATATTATTCAAGCATTGTCCAGTGACGTCAGTGGACATCAACTATTGGTCACCTCTGTTGTCATGTGAAACTATATGAAACTATTTATACTCTTCAGGTGAAAGAAAATGATGATTTCATCTCTGCATATATTGACGTTGTGGGCGGTGAGCGCCGTGATCAACCTGAGCCAGGCCGCGCGTGTACTGTACCTCCCATTCCCTCAGTACAGTCACGTCCAGTCCCTCTGCTGGGTCACAGAGGAACTGCGCAAGTATGGTCACGAATTATGGGTTGCCTATCCGGGTGCCCTCGGGTCGCAAGGCGTCCTTAGAAATAGTAGTCTCAACCTCATCAAAATGGAAGCACTGGGAGATTATGACGCTGACAAGAAGATTAATGGCTATCTCATGGACGCATACCTTTACCCAGACAAGCCGGCAATACCAAATCCCAAATCTCCCACAGATTACCTTCATCTGCTAATAGACAAGCTTATAAAATACATGGACAGAAGGGCTCCACCTATATCGTTCTTCACAACCTTGAGAGAACTCAATCACATTGTTTTAACCGATGTTACCTTTTTTGAGAATATAAAAGCCAAAAAGTTCGATTTGGCAATCGTGGACGGAATTGTTGGTTTGGCCTATACGATCATCCCATACAGGTTAAATGTTCCTTTTTGCTACATCAGCATTGTTCAGGATTCATGGCGGTCAGGGACACCCTTCCTTCCCTCATTTGTTCCCTTCACCGGCTTGGGTGAAACGCCAGAGATGACATTCATGCAAAGACTTGCAAATACTTTGATTCACTTGTTTGCTTCCAACTTTAGACCTCATGTATCTGAGACTGATGTGTCAAAATATGCGCCAGAGAAACCTTACGTCCCTTTCAGTCGTCTTATGGAGCAGGCACAGCTATGGTTCATCGAGCAGGATGTTGTTGCTGATTACCCTAGACCCCTCATGCCCAACTCGAAACTGGTGGGTGGACTATCAACACGGAATGCACAACCTTTATCAGGAAAGTTCCACGATTTCTATAGGAAGTCTCAGCACGGAGTAGTTGTAGTGTCCTTTGGGGGAAGTCTGAGTGAGCTCCCCCAGCACCTCTCTAACAAACTTTTGAAAGCATTTTCCATGACAAAGTATGACTTTGTATGGAGATCTAATGTCAAAACCAATTCCTCAAAGTTTTTGATTTCTAAATGGTTTCCTCAAAACGATCTACTTGGCCATTCGAAAACCAAACTGTTCATTTCCCATTGCGGTTCTAACGGACAGTATGAGGCTATATACAACGGCGTACCCTTACTTGGAGTTCCAATCTTTTCAGACCAACCATACAACGTTAAGCGATTAGTGAGCAAGGGCTGGGGCCTTGGACTCGACTTACATTATGCTACAGAAAGCGACTTTGCATCGGCTATAAACCTGGTGATTGAAAACAAATCTTACAAAGAAAACATTCAAAAATCGTCAAGGATATTCCGAGACAGACCATTAAATCCTCGACAGGAAGTAGCCTACTGGATTGATCATGTGATCAAATATGGCGACTCTCACATCCGTTCTCCTGGACTTGATCTTTCCTGGTATCAGTTTTTATGCATGGACATCTTGCTCGTGGTCCTGGTAATAACTCTCATATTCATATCGGTTTTTGTTTCGATTGTATATATTTTGTTCAAATGGATACATGTTCACACTTTTTTTTCAGGAAAACCGATATTAGACTGAGGTTCAAAATGTACGAGGTGGTAATGCTGTTATGTTCTCGGTGTTGTCTCGCAACTGTTTTGGGTGACAGGTGCTGGATAGCGGGTGGCATGTAATGTGTAGTTAAAGGCGGGTACTGGAAGGCGGGTACTTGAGAGCGGGCACTCAAAGGTAAGTACTGGTAGGCGGTTGCTGGAACTCAGACACTGAGAGACAGGTGCTGGAAGGCGGGTCTTGGAAGGCGAGTACTTGAGGGTGGGCACCCGAATCCAAGTACTGGAGGGCGGGTACTGGAAGGCAAGTACTGGAAGGCGGGTACTTGAGGGCGGGCATTCAAAGGCAAATACTGGAAGGCGGGTACTGGAACTCAGGCGCTTAGAGACAGGTGCTGGAAGGCGGGTATTGGAAGGCGGGTATTTGAAGGCGGGCAATGGAAGGTAAGTACTGGAAGGCGGGTACTGGAACTCAGACACTTGGAGACAGGTGCTGGAAGGCGGGTTCTGGAAGGCGGGTACATGAGGGCGGGCACTGAAAGACGAAAGTCGGATAACGAATGACAGGTGTTGGTTGTGCTTTCATCTTTCAATACGTTTGTTTGGAACGAGTTAGCGGTTCGAAATGAACCCAACTTTGACCCGTTATACTGCCACACTCTTAAACACCCTTAATACCTTGTGCTCTGTTCTTCACACCGGGCTAGGATTGGGCAATGACAATGTTTGACCTTGTCGTTGATGTGTATTATTGTAAATGCGTTAATCGTTACTGTCATTAAAAACTCTTACTTTGTCTAATCGAGATTCCACTACAGTACGGATATACTTTGTAGTCATTTATAACAGTAGTTCACAAAACACACTTCAACTAAAATATTCAGTAAGTTCCCGGGGACAAAAATATGAAAAAGAAGAAATAACTCCTGACATACAGGTTTCGTGTAAGATAACTAAAGTTTATTCATTTAGTTTCTGTACCTACCTAATGGTGGGCATAGTGCCGTCATGGTATAATTAGAGTGAACATGTTGGTAGAGTAATACCTCCATAATGAGGTGTCTGACGTCCAAGTAGCGTATTCCAACGTGTTATTTTCAAGACTATCATGATTCCAAGATAGAGTAACATTCGATGAACGTTTGATTAAGGATATGTGCATCTCTGAACAAAGCTGGCTCACGTCAAAATACTGTCGATACGGGTTGCCGGTTTAAAAGGACCGTCTTCCACGCAATGCGCACACCTCGTCTCATCAATGATTTTCAGTGATTCATTTACATAATTTTCAACCCCCCGTGGAATATGTCCCTGCAGATAATAGAGTACATTTGATATTCTTCACATAAGTAATTGGGCGTGGTGGTCGTTGAAACGTACACAGCGCACATTCTCACCGCCTTTGATAATCATACGATGACCCGTTAGGCTATCCGTATTAATTGTGTACTTTTTGACAATTGTGTAATGTTTTATAATTTACAAGAGTGAGTGAGTGAGTTTAGTTTTACGCCGCTTTTAGTAATATTGCAGCAATATCACGGCGGTTATACTATATAAGACGTGTAAGTAGTTCGAGTGGATTTAAATATAAACAGTTTTGAAATATATTTGAAAAGATCAAGTTGGCCTAGTGTTTCATGAATGTGGATGTTTTGTGACCTCTTGGCATAAATATGCATAGCAGCGGAGAAAACTGGAAGAAGAAACTACATATTATTTCATAACTAAATGAAAATTCCGAGCGGATGGGAGAAAAACATCCGGACTGCCTAACAGACAGGAATCTGGTGCAGATTCCCAATAATCGCCATTGTAAGGTCTGGGAATCTCGTGGGCCGCGGTGTTTGCTTGTACATGTGCATTAGTAGAAATAGAATGTCGCCATCTGTTGTTTGTATTGCAGCAATAAATACTCCATTTTAGGTCACACAACCTGCAGAACACTCGGTGTTATTGCAGTTCTGCAACACAGGACTTGATATTACATCTGATTAGTAAAAGGGTTGCTGCTAGTATTTTTTATGAATTGGGATTTTTTGTTTTGGTGTTCATTACAAATAATAGCCAGACTGTTCAAGACTTTCTTCGTCATAAAGTTCTCATATTCCACCATGGGTCTGTTCTTTTTTGTTAAGTAAAGCAGTTATCGACCAGCTTATGCAAATCTACTGCAACTACGATTGAGCAAAGCCGAGACCAGCAAGTACATGAATGGTATTGTAACATTCACCTGATGACACGGGTTAGAATTGGTCTTCAGCAACCCATGCTTGTCGTAAGATGCGACTGGCGGGATCGGGTGGTCAGACATATCATCGTATCCCAGTTGCATGGTCTGATTCTAAGGATGTCAATCACTGGAAAAACAGACACTGTTTATGTAACTATACAAACATCATCATCACCATCATCACCATCAGCAGCAGCAATAACAACAACAGCTACTACTACTGACTGACTGACTGACTGAGTCTGGTTTTACGCCGCTTTTAGCAGTATTCCAGCAACATCATGGCGAGGGGACACCCGAAATGGGCTACTACTACTACTATCAACAACAACAACAACAACAACAACAACAACTACTACTACTACTACTACTCCTACTATTACTGCTGCTGATACTACTACTATAACTGTTTTAGGGGCGGCTGGGGCAGCGTAATAGTAAAAGCATTCGCTCATCACACCATTTCGAATGACAGGTGTTGGTTGTGCTTTCATCTTTCCATACGTTTGTTTGGAACGAGTTAGCGGTTCGTAGGGAACCCAACTTTGACCCGTTATGCTGCCACATACACTGCCACTACATTTCTTGAAGTTCATTTCCTGTGTACCTCACCGAGATATCGCTGGTATATTGCTAAAAGCAGCATAAAGCAATACTGACTTAATCCCTATTATTACAGCTATCACCACCACCACCACCACCACCACTACCACCACCACTACCACTACCACTACCACTACACTACTACTCCTACTACTACTACTACTACTACTACTACTACTACTACTACTACTACTACTATAGACCCGTGAAGATCCCAGTTAGAATTGATCTTCAGCAACCCATGCTTGTCGTAAGGGGCGACTAACAGGATCGGGTGGTCAGGCTCGCTGACTTGATTGACAAATGTCATCGGTTCCCATTTATGTAGATCGATGATCATGCTTTGATCACTGGATTGTCTAGTCCAGACTCGATTATTTACAGACCGCCGTCATATAGTTGGAATATTGCCAAGTGCGGCGTAAAACTAAACTCACTCACTCGCTACTACTGTATCAACAACCACTGCTCACCCATACGGCAGAGGTGCACAGTGACAGGTATATTTTAACATAGATCATGTTATAAGGAAATGCACATTCCAATCTTTACTCTACATATCCATGTTGACGATAGACAATCCATGCATAACTACCAGTACAGCTATCTCCGTATATAACGAAATTTAGATAAAACGAGTAACAATAACAGAATACTCAGTTTCTACCACGACGTCGAGGCGAATAATGTAACTGTCAACCAAATTCGGATTGTGCGACCTCGGTTTTATTGAAGTTAAACCTTATTTCGAAGTATGGCAATTGTTATTGTTGGCAAAAGACAAGATCAAGTGAATCCCCGTTCCATCCAACCCAAATCTAGTTCTTATTGCGAAACACGACATTCGTATAACGCTTATCTCGAATCTCGGTATAACGCATCTAATACTCAAATCAAATTACTGCAAAATTCTAAATTCGTACACAGCACACTCGGTGTTAACGAACAGTTTCATCCTGGAAGAGTGAGTGAGTTTAGTTTTACACCGCACTCAGCAATATTCCAGCTATATCGCAAACCGAAACCTGAGTCTCATGAACCAGTTCAGACAATGACCTACTTTTCAACCGATCCGAATTTTCTCGTGTGAAAGTGAAAAGAGACACTGCAAACAACTAAGGTTACACACGAAATTCTAATTCCTTGTTTCAAAAGAAAATTGTATTTACAAAGGAATGTTAATTTTAAACCTTAACCAAATCGTATTTCTATATTTTATGACGATGTTTAGGCAGCATGACCTTAACTAAGATGGCTCACTGGTTACACCTGTTATGTGTTCTTTGCGCTTATTAAGTGTATTTTTGTAACGTACAATGTGATTGAATATAATATCTAGGTCGTACAAGACCGCAAAAACCTTTCTAGCGGCCGATCCTCGTTTTGAGCTTTCCACGCCGTTTGTCAGAGAACGCTGTACATACGACAGCGCACGCTGCACGACGTGTTTGCAAGGATTAGAAGGTGCGCGTTTGAAATAATTATGGCTCCTTGCCTCTAGGCAGGAGACCTATTGTAATCGTTCGGATTATTATTATTATTATTTATTTTTCTGCCGATTTTTGTACCAAACATACCTCCTAAATCAATGCTCCGAATCACTTACAAAAAATCACACAGATGCCCACCGAGGTGTAGATATTCCCCTTAAAATCTCTAGGCTCTAGGCCCAATAGAGAAGGGGCGATAATTCAAAATTAATTCCAAAAGTTCAAAGTTTGACAGCAAATATCTCAAGAACTAATTGTTCCATCACTTCCAAATCTCTTGTACAGATGTACAATCGAGGTCTCAACAATTGTGCCTGGACGGGTCAAGTCGCTAAAATGTACCGTTTGGCAGTTATTTTTTGTTTTCAGTTTTTGGCCATGTTTTTCAGCTGTTGTCTGAGTAGTTTTCTCCCAAAATGTGCTGATCTCGAACCATCAGTTCTAGACATTCCAAACTTTCCATAACTGATGTCCAGTAACCATTGTGCAAATTCTGCACAAAAAGTGCCCGTATGATAGATGAAGTCTTGGTGATTCCAGAACACTAATTGTTTTGACCGTAGACCCAAGAACAACTGAGATACATCCTTTTAAAGAGGGAACAATTTCTTCTCCAGAACTTCTTAAAAAGGTACATGACCCCCGCGGCCCCGGCTGTATTTGGAAGATCCTCTCGCCTGTCAAAAACGTGTTTTTTGCTTC